GGCTCCGGGGCCCGCTCCCTTCCCCCGCAGCGGCTGCCACCCCGAGGACGGGCCTGTGCTCGCAGCACCCCGGTTCCCCGGCGAAGGGGACGGACCCCTACCCCGGCAGGGAGCGGCGAGGTGTTCCTTACGAGGCTGGGAGCGGAGGACCTGGCCGCTTCGCTGCGGTGTCGGCGCCCTGGGGAGCTCTGTCAGTGTTGTGAAAATCCCTGCGTGAATCGGGAGGACGTATGCTCGTAGCGTTGCTTTCTGGTGTGTAATTTCCTGCCTGTGACAGCACTGCTTATGCTAATTGTGTACAGGACTCAGAACAACACTTTTTCTAACCTGTTTTTCCCCATCCTTAGCTTTAAAAAACAAAACAAAACAAAACAAAGCACACCATCGACAAAAAACACTAACGCTGTTTGAGCATACCTGTCTTCCATTGTTGTTAGTTATACAACATTCTTGCCTGTTGCATGTGTTGGGTATGAGCCTTAGTTGTATTAGTAGCTCTGACACTCTAATATTTTTAGCGTATCACATGTTTTTAGGGTGACAGTGGCTTTGTCAGAGACCTAAAAGATCATGCAATCTGTCTTTCTCCCTACAGTCCACTGAAGCTTTGGAATTCATGAAGAGAGACCTGGCTGAGTTCACCCAAGTAGTGCAGCATGATACAGCCTGCACTATTGCTGCTACGGCCAGTGTGGTCAAGGACAAACTGGCAGTGAGTATAGGAGTAAGAGAGCCAAGACTGTTGTTGCAGAAAGCAAAACTGGGGAGAAATGAGGCGTACCTAGAGCAGGCAGTTTGGTTCTGCCTTTAAGGACACAATTCCTTCTAAACAAACCTCAAGATGTAGACTTGGGCTTGAGGGTTCACATGTTTTTCCCTCGGTGCAAATTCAATAGCAAGTCCTCTGAGACTTCTGTGCTGTGTTGTGGGCAGGAACCTTTGGAGATAAGTGGAGACGGGTTCCCTGTGTTTTCCTTCTCCTGCTGTGCCATTTAGACAGGTTACTGGCAGTATCGCTGTAATATGACATCGCATCTCTTCACAGGCTGTCAGCATTAGCCCTATGCAGCTGTTGTGACTGTCTGACCCCCAGACCTGGCTGTATCTTTCCCATTTCACAACCCAGGCTTGGTTCCCTACCAGCTTATTACCAATACCTGCCTGCCACCACCTGAAGCTGGTTCCTGCTACCACACCCTTCTCATAGCCCAGCCCTGCCCACAGAATTGCCCCACTAGCGTGTTTCTGAGGGGAGAAAAATCCTTCTCCTGTAAAGGAACCTAGCCAGAAGAGTATTTGAGATTTGTCCTGCTGCTTCAGGCACTGTTACTTATACCATGTTGCCTTTTTTCTTGAAGAAGACAGAAGGTTCCTCAGGTGCAACTGAAAAGGTGAGGAAAGGACTCTCCGACTTCCTGGGTGTCATCTCGGACACGTTTGCTCCTTCGCCAGATAAGACCATTGACTGCGATGTCATAACTCTGATGGCAACACCCACAGGTACCACAGAGCCCTATGACAGCGCCAAGGTGAGTGTCCCATTTTGGAGCTTCCACCTGAGGAGCCGAGTCCTGAGCCCTGTCCTTTTGGGGCTCAGCTGCTGTTCCTCTGCTGATAGCTCTTCCCTCTTGTGTTCTCCTCCAGGCTCGTCTCTACAGTCTTCAGTCAGATCCAGCCACCTACTGCAACGAACCTGACGGTACGTGTGGGGCTGGGCAGTGCTGCCAAGCAAAGCTGGTGTTTGTGTGGGTGTCCATGGACTGTCCTGAGTTGCCCAAGGCCTTTCACCCGTGGTTCTGCTGGTTTGACTGCAGCTTGGGTCACCACTGATGGAAAGCAGATCTATCTGTTGTCCTTGAGGACTAACTTTGAGTTTGTTGGGTCTGTTTAAACTGCTGCCACAGCTAGTGCTGTCTGGCCTCTTGCTGATGGAGGACTTGGGACGTAGGATGGGCTCAGGACCCACGTCTCCCTCTCAGCCCTCCCAGTGAGATTTTGGTGCCTGTTACTTAGCGTATGACCTTCTGGTGCTGTCTGTTGAGCCTTTCCTGAGGGTTTCAGGGCGGGCAGACAGTCCAGTCCCTTGCAGCAGCAAGATGTTCACTGAGCTGCAGAAGCACTCCTTTTCCCTGGGGAAGGGAAGCATCCAGCAGGGGAGGGAGTGGGTGGACATACCGGCACCCCTGTGTGCCTTGACTGCTGTTGGCTTTAAAGGGCTGTCGGGAACCAGGGCTGTTCCCCCCTCTCCTGGTTACTCTGCTTGTACTGCAGCCTGTTTGGGAATCACGTTCCAGCTGCTGTGTGCAGTGTGAGACCTAAAAGGTAGTGTGCTCATTTCAGGGTTGCACATCTTGCTGCTCTCCTACCTGTCCTTGTTTGCTCCTTGTTTGCCCCAGCTGGGCTGGTGTGTAGCATCTTTCCCATGAAACTTGCTGAAACCTTTCCTGCCTTATTTGTGCCAAGGATTTTGCTATCTCTGTGCTTGTCTCGTACAGGCCCTGCTGAGCTCCTTGAGGCCTGGCTCTCTCAGTTTAACCTAGAGGAGAAGAAAGGAGAGATCTCTGAGCTGCTGGCTACCAGCCCTTCCATCCGAGCACTCTACAGCAAGATGGTGAGGCACCTGTAGTGGATGAGGGATGGGTTCTGTCTGACCAGGCCTTGGGTATGACACAGGGAAGCTCTGAGCTGCTTGGGCCCTGGAGCTGTCGGAAGGAGGATTGTAGCTGTGTAGTAAACAGACATGTTGCTATAAGGCAGCATATTGGATTCTTCTGCTCCAGGCTTACAAGAAGCAAGCAGAGAAGTTCTTCTGTAGCTATCTGGTGCCTGTCTGAGCATCTGCAGGTGTGAACCTGGTGCTCAGTTCCAAGTCTGTGTGGGACTGAGCCCCTGAGCGTGCAGGTGACTTGCGTAGGTTTCAGGGGCAACTGTAAGGCTCAGGAGGAGAGGAGCAAGGTGGCAACCACAGCCACCCCTTTAAAGTGACTCACTGCATTTTGTGTTGCTCCCAGGTACCTGTGGCAGTTTCTCATTCTGAATTCTGGCAGCGCTACTTCTATAAAGTGCATCGCCTGGAGCAGGTAGGTCAGGAGGTGGGCTGAGGAGCGCTCTGTTGCAGACCAAAGAGACAGAGGAAGGCATCTTCCTCTGAAAAGCAGGGCTCTGGCTGCCTTTTCTGTTGTTGTTGCTGACACTGAATTGCCTTGGGGAGGAAAGGACTGGGAATGTGACTGGCTGCTGACTCTGACTTCCCTGCAGGACGAGGTCCGGAGGGAAGCTCTGAAGCAGAGAGTGGAGGAGAGCATGCACCGAGAGGAGCCAGGCTGGGAAGAGGATGAAGGTGGGTTGGATGGCAGGGATCTGTGGGGGAGGGCTTGTGTAGAGCCAGCAGATCTGAGCTGAGAGGTGGTGGCTCCTTCTTACTCCCAAATTTGGCTCCCAGCCTGGCCCCAGCTGTTCCTGCCTCACTGTCAGCTGCTGCTGTACTAGCAGTTGGGCCATGTTGCCATCAGCTGTTCCTCACTTGGCTAGAGCATGGGGGAAGCTAATCCCCTGGTGCTGCTCTACTGACTGGATCTGCTCTGCATGGCACCAGTGTTTGAACACCGCAAGGCTCCCAGTGCTGTAGTCTTGGAGCGAGTAAGCCCTACAGCCCCCCAGGGAGGGTAATGGGAGGGAGAAGAAAGGTGGGATGATGTGGGAGGCCTCCCTGGAGGACTGGGCAGAAGAGGCTGGCTGAGCCTGGTTAGAAGAGGCCTGCACTAGTTTCAAGCCCAGTGTTGGGGACTGCTGGGCTATAGTGCTGTTTCTGCTCCCAGCTTATAACACACTTGCTGAAACATCTCTTGCTTCTCTTCTGCCTTCCTACAGAGGAATTTTTGGGAATGTCACCCCTGCCTTGTGCAAATTTGAAATTTCCAGAAGCAGCAGAGAAAGAGTCTGCCCCTGCAGTCCTGGAGGGAGGCCACCCCACCCCCCTCAAGGGAGCTGCAGAGGAAAGCTGGGCTGTCCCCTCTTCCGAGTCACTCCCAGCAGAGGGGAGCCCTTCTGAGAGCAGTGAGAGCATCTCCCTTGTGACTCAGATCGCAAACCCTGCCTCTGTGCCTGCTGCACAGTTACAGACTGGAGCACAACCAGCTGGGGCCCAGGACCTCTCCCAAAGGCTGCTGGAGGCCACCTCAGAAGAGCAGGGCTCCCTGCCAAAGCCTGCAGAACCTGGGCATCCTTCTGCAGCTGCCCGAGAGCCAGCAGCATCCTCAGAGCGGCCAGCTGTTACAGAGCTCAAGGAGGTGGAGAGCAAAGCCCAGGGCAGGACAGAGACTCTGAAAGAGGAAGGACCAACAGATTTACGAGTCTTTGAGCTGAATTCAGATAGTGGGAAATCCACGCCCTCCAACAATGGCAAGAAAGGTACGTATGTGGGGACCAGCCCTATGCCCGGAAACCTTCTGCTGGGGATGGCAGCCCTTAGGGAAGGGGCTGGAGTCAGAATGGGAACCTGGGTGCAGCCTTTTTTGGGCTTGGAGCTGTGGTTGCAGGTCATATAGATCACTGGGTCAGTTCAGTGTTTCTGATGACCCTCCATTAGGACTACCTGATTCATGAAGTTCAGTGTGTTGCTAATATACTTGTTTTGGCAGCAGCACTGACCTGTTGCAAGTGTTTCTGCAGTGGAGAGGACCTCTGCCCTGTCCTGACCCTGTCTCTTCTCCAAATCGGTGTCCAGGAGATACCAGAAGACAAACCTGGATTCTCTGTTTTTTCCTCATGTGGGAGGAGAAAAGGAATTTTGCAAAAGTCACCTGGGGAGGGTTAGATCCAAACACTATCTAATGCCTGAACTAAAGTGGAAACGAATTCTTATGCTGTTGGGCAGGGTCGGGGCGGTCACAGCAGATTGTCGGTATCTGCTTTCAGCAGGCGGCTGGGCTGGTGCTGCTGCTGGCTCTGGCCTGAGCGCTATCGCGGGGGGAGCCCCGTTTCTGGGAGCGTGGAGGGTGAGACTCCTCAATGAGGTTGCCTGGAAGGGAAGTGTTACAGCTCTAGCTGATGCTGTTTACATACCTTCTGTTGAAGGGGATGCTGCTGTCAGTGGGACCTGCTGTAGGTCTTCTGGTGTAATGGGTTGTGCTAATTGTAGGATTATAAAGCAGCTGGAAATAACCCAAGCTTGGGGATAGTGGCTCAGTTTTGTGCACTGGATCTGTTTTCATGTTGAGCAGAATCAAATTAGATGAGGAAGAAATGACAAGTTTCCTTGCTGAATTGAGTAGGCAGTGCCTTTGGTCCCTGGCTTGCTGGATGCTAGGGGGTCAGGCTGAGGTCTGTGTATGAAAAGTGTCTCCTCCCTTCTTGTCACCTCTAGGAGTGCCCCTGCTGCTCCTCTGCCCCGTGAGGTTGTGATTCCTGTTGGAGTTTATTACAGTGCCCATATTTAGGTCACTCTTGCCATTCCTTATCTGCTGTATTTTCTGCATGACCAAAGCATAACCTAGTTCTCTGAGACTGGAGGAGAGCATGGTTTTGGCATTCAGCTCTCCCACTTGTTTTGCACACGTGAAACAGTCCTTGCTGTGACAGAAGTCCAGCTCAGTCCATCCTGTCTCTATTAGCAAGCTGACAGCATGTCACTGGGAACCAGACAGGCTTTCTGTCCTTGGCCCAGGCTGTTTTAGATCCAACCCTTGTGAATATACAGGCTCTATGAGTCTTCTTGGACAGCTGTGTGGCTGCCCAACAACTTTGGCCAGAGTGGGGAGCACGCACAGCTCTGGGTCCTCCCAGAAAAAGCCTGTTGGGCTCAATCCTGACGTTTGTGGTTACAGGCTCCAGCACTGATATCAGTGAGGACTGGGAAAAGGACTTTGATTTGGACATGACTGAAGAGGAGGTGCAGCTGGCGCTCTCAAAGGTGGAAGTATCTGGGGAGGTGAGTGTAGGGGAAGTGTGCTAGCTCACATAGGCTAGGAAGTCCCTTCCAGAAAGCATCAGTGTTTCAGCATCTCCCTGGGGTGATATCAAGTCCTCTACATTGCTTAGCACTAGGAGAGAGACTGCAGTGTCTTGGGGAAAGAGAGAGAGAGCAAATCCTTGGACTGAGCACTGCTTCCAGCCCTTGTGCAGGAACCAAGGCTGTGCAGCACGTCGCAGTGAGATGTGGCTGCTGCTGGCCTTGAAGGGCAGCACTGCAGTAGGTACCCTGGCTACTTGCAGCATCCGATCTCCAGCGCTAAATTTCTCGAAGGCCTGATTCCTTTTGGAGGAAGACAGATATAACTAGGGATCTTGCTGTGGAAGTCATGTGGGTATTAGCTGGAGAAGGAGAGAATGGTTTTTGGGGTGTACTTAAAGGGAAATGAGTATGTAAGTTTCCCAAGGGGAGGGACAAGGCAAGCAAATCCCTGTTGTGAGGGTGTGGATATGTCAGGCTTTGTGCTGACTCAAGTGTCCTGGGTAGGAGGATGTCTACTGGCACATGGCTGGTCAGTTAAAGAAACAAACTGAGGGATATTTCTCTTGTTTGCAGCTGGAAGATGAAGAGTGGGAAGACTGGGAATAAAGCGACTGCTTCCAGTGTGTGTCACAGGCTCACTTCCACCATCGAATATGAATTAAATCACAGACCGGCTATTCCTTTGTGTGTAACTCTGCTGGGGATTGCAGTTCCAGGTTGGCGGAGTTTCATCCCTGCTAAATCCTGTGGGCAACTCAAATGTGACCTGTTCAGATCTGGAGGAGGAGGAAGCAGGAGTTCACTTGTAGACTTAGCTGCTAGGGAACCCATCTTCTCAGTAGATCCTAGAGACTTGGCAAGGCCAAAACTGACTGCCCCTGACAGTGGTATGGAGGCAAGCGTGGTGCAGTGAGGGGTCCCCGGGATGAGCTGGGCACTGAGACACCAGCAGGATTGCTCGGTGTCCCCAGACTGCCAGTTGGCTGATTGTCTGCTTGTGTGTGCGCGTAACCTACCATACAGCAGTACAAAGGCTCTTCAAGGCAAGCTGCTCCTGCTCGCTCACTGCTCTGCACTGCCAAGACATCCCTGGAGAAAGCCCCCGAGTGGGGACTGGCCAGGGGCTGGAGATAACGCAGCAGAAGTAGCTCCTGCTGTTCCACTCATCGCTGCAAGGAGAGATAATTGGCTTGTGGCTGTGGTCCAAGGCTGGGCCCTGCTGGAAGGAGCCAAGCTCCCTGCCAGTTCCTGTGCTTCTGCCTGGCCTGGCTTTTTGTCTTAAGAAGCTTTTTCTAATGGAAGCTCCTGTTTCCTGCTGCAAGAGCAGCAGTTTCTCTAAGAGCCGAAGGCTGATGCTTTCCCCTCTGCAGTGGTCCCAGCTGCACTACTTTCCTCTGCTGGGTTTTGAGTACTTCTAGTTAAATTCTCCAAGCAAAGTACAGTGCTTGCTGTTACCTGTGGCTTGCTGTTACCTGAGCACTTCTGGGCAGGCAGTGATCTGGGTCACCCTGGTGGGAGCAGAGCCTCTCCCTTGTGCCCAGTTCAGCCCTTTCAAAGCCGCGGTCCAGCCCACTGACTGCTTCAACCTCTGCCTTGGCTGCAAAGTTCAACTGATTGTCTCTCAGCCTGGGGGTAGGCAAGTGCAGATGGTACTTGCTGGCTGAGACTGGCTGTGTGTTAATTCATCTGATACCCTCCCCCAAACACACAAACCCCCATCTTGGCTGCACCAGGCTTCATGTAGCTGCTAGGGTTACCAGCCTTGCTGTGCTCACTGGGTGTCCTTCACTTAAACCACGTTTCCACTGCTTGCAATGCTTCCTTTCGACCCACAGCCTTTGTCCCTGGTGCGGTGTCCTCCTAATGTTGTAAAATACCCCTCAGTGGATGTTGCTAGTAAGAGTTATCCTAAAGGGACAGAGCCCACGCCCCTGTCTCTGGCCTTTCAAGTATTGATTTTATCCGTGGTACCTATGTCATTCTGCCTCTTTGAGGGCTGCTTAATTGGAGCTATGGGTTTCCTTCTATTTCTGGATAATGTTAACCTAGGGTACTTGGGGAGTTATTTTTCCTTTGGGCAGATTCTTTAACACAGCTGCCTGCACATGTGTGGGGGTGGTGGTGGTGACTTCAGGCCCATGCATGAGAGCTTGTCAGTACTGGAAAAGCCACGAGGTGCAGGGATCGTGCTGTAGCGCAGCTCCTGCTTCGTGGCGTCGAAGGGGCCCAGCAGAGCCCCTGAGCTGTGCTGTCGCCTTGCCCTGTCCTGGGCTCTGACACGGCCCGAGGAGGCTGCTGTGTTCATGCTGTACGGAGGCAGGAGCCAAGTTTAGCTGCAGCAGGAAAACCTGTCATAGGTTGGTGCCCTGATACTGGTGGGGCTGTTTCTGCTGAAGGGCTGCGTGGTGCTGCCGCGGCAGGGGCTGCCGGGCTGTGTCGCTGTGGAGCGTGAAGGTGTGAGTCCTGGCTGCATCCCAGGCCCACAGCGGAGCTGCCGAGAGTGCAGCGCTCTCATCTGTGTCATTTTTTTTTTCTTTAGTCCAATTAACCATTTGGTTGTCTGTGCAATATTCTCTCTTCTGAACTATTCTGCATCTCCCTGAGCCTTTTCTAGCTGGGGTGAAAACCAGAAACAATTCTAACAGCTGGTAGTTTTGTAATGACGACTTTCTCCAAACCTTTTACAGACTTGCAGTTAACAGCAATTAAAGGAATTCTACAGAGTCGCTGCCTGTACTGGGTGTCCTCATTTCGTCTGCCGGCAGGGTGGGGGCTGCCCAGAGGGTCTGTGTCTCTTGGACTGGTTTTGATTTCTTTTCCCTCCCACCTCCGCCGAGGGACATGCGCTTGGTTGGGAGGATGCTGGAAGAGAGGGATAGCGCATGCTGGGCTGTCCTTTGGCTTAGTGCCTTGGCTGCATCTTCTCCGTAGTGGCTAGCCAGGCAGGGGAAGGGCTGGGGTGAAGCTTCCCGCCCTGCTCGTGGCCAGGGACACACGGCCGTGGATCCCCCGGCTGTGTGAGACGTGCCAGTGCTTGAGATGGTCTTGGGAAGGTGGGCAAACGCTGCTCAAAGCTCCTTGGAGCACGTATAAAGCACGCCTTGTTCTCAACTCATGAAGGCCAGGGGCTTTGGGTGAACAGATGAAATGCCTGAGCATGGGCTAGACCCATCATCTTGGCTCTGCCAGCCAAGGCCTGGCCTGGCCTGCCCCCCGCGGGATGGATGGGTGGGAAACACTGACGTGAAAATGTATCAGCGTTTTAGAAGCAATCCGTCCCCTTTATTTGGGGACAGCATTGACGAGCCCTTCTCAGGGGCTAGTCAGCCACGGGTGCCAGCTGACTTCCTCGATGGAAGGCCTCAGGATCATATCTGGCTCCAGGAGGCTTTTCAGGAGGTCCTGGCACTCCTCGGAGACCCCCAGGTGCCTTGGCAGGGAGACCCCTTTCTGCTGCTGGCGCAGCATCTTGGGGATGTCCGTGTCGTCGAAGGGCAGGCTGGCGCACAGCATCACGTAGAGGATGACACCCGTGCTCCAGACGTCGCCCTTGCGGCTGTCGTGGGGGACGCCCTGCAGCACCTCGGGCGCCGCGTAGGCCGTGCTGCCGCAGAAGGTCTGGCTCAGCTCCTTGCGGTTCCTGGGCAGCAGCTTGGCAAAGCCGAAGTCCGTCAGCTTCAGGGTGAAGCCCTGCAGCAAGGCGTTCTCGCACTTGAGGTCGCGGTGCGCCACGCCACAGCCGTGGCAGTACCGGATGGCCTCGACCAGCTGGTGGAAGAGGGCCCTGGCGCGGCGCTCGGGCAGGGGCCCTTCGTGCAGCACGCAATCGAAGATGTCCCCGTCCTCCGCCAGCTCCATCACCAGGTAGATCTTCCCTTCGGCAGACTCCAGCATCTCATACACACGGATGATGTTCTTGTGGTCCAAGCGCTGGACAATCTGGAGCTCCCGGGGCAGGAATCTCTGGATAAACTCTGCGGCGAGAGAAAGAGGGATTTGCTTGCACTGCGGGGATGAGGATGGCCCTTCGTCCCTGAGCTGCTGGCTCCTGTCACCCCTCCAGGGCTTGGCCAAAGGGGTGGGTGGGGAGGGGGAAGGTCCTTTCACGGGGGCCCTATTCCTTATGGCCTTGCACCGAGCATCCCTGCAGGGCTTCTCCCAGAGCGATGCAGGGACCGGGGACGCAGGGAAGCACGGCCTGATGCCCCAGGCTGTGCTTTCTGCCTGCGGCAGGGAAATGCGGGAGCTCTCCCACCCCCCTGGAGCTCGGGGGCAGCTGGAGCCCCCCAAGACGCTCCCTCCTCTCCGGCTCCTCGGAGGAAAGTTTGGGAAACTAGTTTTCTGCCAAGAAGAAGAAGCCTCCAAGGAGAGACCGAGCCTCAGCCTGGAGTCCTCTCCGGTGTCATCTCTTACCATCTGGACCTTCCTTCTTATTAAAAATTTTAACAGCCACTTTCTTCTGGTGCTTTTTGGAGAAAGCCTCCTTCACTTTGGAGTAGGTTCCCTCCCCAATGGTCTTGCCCAACTGGTAGCCATTGACGAGCAAAATCTCCTCCATCTCCTCTCGCAAACCGGGCCCGTCCGTTCTCTCAGGTCATCGCACAGCGACTCCGCGAGAGCATCCCAGCGCCCGGCGGCCGCCCGCGCCCCCGGCTGGCATCT